GACTCTGAGGCTGGATCAAAAGTGATTTTATTTACAGGTGAGGTTTGCTATTTACAGGAACGGGAGAAAATCCAGGAGATCTGCAAGAGCGGGAAGGACAAGTTGAGTGACAAAATGGTGGAGAGATCCAAAAACAAACAGTTGCTTGAGTGAGATAATGATATGTTGTTTCCTTACAGATTTCCAGGAGGCRAAGGACATGGAGGAGGTACTGAAGAAGACCAGGGGTAAGGCTTGCATACGTCATTTTCACCTTTTGGCCGTACGTTCATTTATAGTATGGTTTCCACACAATCTTTTATAAATCCAACCCCTGGTTGGGTAGGGTCTTCCTGTGTCAAAGCTTCGGAGTGTGTGTCGAGAAAACCCGGAAGTCTTTAATGAAGCGTGTCTTTTTTTACTGTTTACCATTTATTACAGTATTTATATTCTGAAACATTCCTAACAAACATGTTTTTGTACAGGCAAAGGTAACTACACAATTACTTGTTCAAGTTGGCACACAAAAATGTTCCCAGTTTTCTTTTCTCTCTGATTTGGTATGGAAACTGTATACTGCTGACAGTCAATGTATTACTTTACTGCAGATTATCTTTTGAAAACAATGCTTTTGGAGTTTAATTTTAGCATAAATGATGATGCTTGTGTCACCAACACAAAAACACATCCATATTTTCTATACAAATGAGTCACGAGATAAAACAAGACAAAACTCAGCTACATAACATAAAAATGGTCCACATGATCCCTAAAAAGGATGGTGGAATCCAACACATTTAGTCCAAAAACTTTAGGGTGGAGAGTGAGGAAGTTGTTGGATGATATGAGCTCTGGGTCAAGGTTTCTCCTTTCGTCACTCTGGCCTCTACAGTATATATTCAATCCTCCTCTCCAAAGCTGTCAACTTCATGTTAAGAGTAGGCAGACAGGATCAAAAAGACATTTCAAATGAGTTGAGGAAATCGGCGATCTTTTTGATGCTGCTTGTATTTACTTCCATGTACCCTATTCGCCCAGTCTTGGTCAATCTCTCTTTGCACAGGATCTTCCTGGCCAGCCATGTTAGCAGTTTGGTGTGTGTAGCCTTCCATGAAGTGTGTGTCGAGGCTTGTGTTGTTAAGGGTGAGTGACBTCACCGGTGACATCTGAAGCCTCGCTGGTTCAGGAGAGGATTCGGGTTTTGGTTTGTTTCATGAACTAATTGGATCACCACAGAACCTGTGTACCAAGTGTTTGTGTTGAAGTTTCACTGCTTTCTGATAGAGACACTTCTTTTTATAAAGCTGCTAAAAGAAGCAGCATTTCACCTGAGTGATCCCACTGATTTCTCCCAATAAGCTTTTTCACAGAATTATGTTCAGTTTTTAACAATTAGGTGATGAAATGTCTTACTAATATTTTGCAGAGTGCCATTTTAAAGGTCTAACTTTTCTGTCATAACTCAGTTTATTTATTGGAATATTTGGGGTTAGAACCACCATAATAAAGAGCTTTACAGMTTGTAGGGGTCACCTCGGGTCAAATTATCAAGGAACTATGTTGGACTCTCAGTCCTCTGATGGGCCTTCTAATGGACAGAAACTCTGTTCCACTTAGAACTGTATTTAGGCCACCCAAGGCCACTTTCCCTCTAAATCAGATAAAAACTGAAGAATCTTCGTCTTATTTGATTTATTGTTCTCTTAACTGAAAGTATTACACATTTTGATAATCAGAGAATGTTTATCAAAGTTACAGGAGAAGAGAGGATTCTCCCTCAGTATGATTTCAGCTATGTATGTTTTTTTCTGTGGGAAAAATTCTTATTTAACTAAAATAATCTTTATGGTTTAAGTTGATGAAATATCAATGTTTTACTTGTCTGAATCATAT